TATTTTTTATCCACTGTGAGCTCACCTCTTTCCTAAATTGTCTCAGATCAATAAGGCAAAGAAGCAGCTGGAGACAGGAAAAAAAGAGACTGGAGGTGAGAGTTTGGAGCGGAGCTGGTTCCAGACCCGTGAAGAGAGGAAGAAGGAGAAATGTGAGTCATGACACTGCTGCCATGTTAAATTCTGTAGCTGCAACTGGCCTCTGCTCTCTGCTTTAGGAGGTTCTTTATTCTGTTTCTCTCTCTCTTTCCAGTGGCTAAAGCCCTGCAGGAATTTGACCTAGCATTGCGGGGGAAAAAGAAAAGGAAGAAATTTATGCAGGACACACAGAAAAAAGCCCAAATGACTGTGAGTACATTTATGGACAAGTGGGACCCTGGGTGGACTGTCAGAGTTTTCCCTTAGCAAAACCTCACATCACTGCAAACTTGCGTTTAAACATCTTTCAGCCAGAGGAAAGGTCACAGTTTGAAATCTTGAAATCTCAAATGTATGCTGAGCGTCTGGCCAAGAGGAATCGCCGAGCAAAGAGAGCCAGAGCCTTGCCAGAAGAGGAACCAGCAGCAGTACCAGCAGGTAGAGACTTGTTTTACAGCTAACTTACCTTATGTCACTTACTTTGCTAGAAATAGGTAAATTAAACTAGTTTGTGTAGAGGGAGGCATTGCTCTTTGAAGGAATGGCCACCAGTGCTGGCCAGGGTGCATGTTTGCAGAGAGCAGTTATCGCTCTTCCTGATGGTTAGGCTACTTGTTGTGGTCAAGAGGACTGGGATGATGCTGTGGCCTTCCATTTACAACCATTGTTCTGAATATTGTCTCTGTTAGGCCCTAAGAAGAAGAAAAAAGTGTCTGTGTTTGATGAAGAGCTGACCAACACGAGCAGGAAGGCTCTGAAGCAGTACCGTGCCGGGTAAGGTCTTAGCAGTATTACCTTAGTCCAGACTCTAGTAGATGAGATTTTTACATCTTTGGACTTTCTCAGGGATACCTTGACTGATACTGGGAGAAAAGGTGGGCAGGGTTCTTTTGAGAAGTACTGTGCTTGATATAGTTCTTGCTGTCTTACCTCTCCTCCTTCCCCTTTCTCTCAAAAGCCCTTCGTTTGAGGATCGAAAACGTCTGGGTATTGCCCAGCGCAGGAAAGGAGGAAACTTCAAATCCAAGTCCAGGTATAGCTCCCTTTACTTTCTTACTCAAGTTTGGGTTGTTTTTTTTTTTCCCCTGCTTTCTTTTTTCTTCTTCTTGTGATTGCTTGAAGGCCCTTGCTAAAAGGTTTGTTGGTTCTACGGTACCTTACCTTCCTACTGCAGGTCTGGGGGCAATCAAGGACACTGCCTTTAATAGCACATTCCTAGGCTTCTACTTGGGAAAATACTTTACCTGGAAAATACTCAGTGTTGCTCCTCATCTGTCACTGAGAGTTGGGCTGGAGGGGAATGTCATTTCAATTATCTTCTCTTTCAGGTACAAGAGGAAGTAAGAACTGTTGGCAGTTACCAGACAGGTAATTTCAGACATACTCTGTACAGAGCCTGGATTTCTTTGTACTGCAAGGAGACAACTTCAGTAAAGTTGAACGTTTTCTTCAAGGTCGGGAATAGCTCTGGGATATTTGCCAGTACTTGGTTGAAGACCCTGTGTTAAAACATCTGTAGCAGCCCATGCAATAAAGAATTATATTTTTTAGGAGGTTTACTCTGTTTTATAGCACAGCTGGAACACCTGAGAGCTGGGATCTGTTACATCTTTCTATCAGACTTTTAGTTCATGTAAGTCAAGTTGTCTTTAGGGCAAAAACTGAACAGTGCTTTGTTCATATACTTCTGTGATCTCAATTAATTAATAGAGCTGAAAAGGACTTCTGTTGTTGAGAGCCTATTCTTGTAATAGGAAAAAAAAAGTTTTTCAGACTGTTACAAAGATGGCTTTGGAGGTGACAGTCACAGGAATTACAACAAATCTCCAAGAGGCTGCTATCTGAAGGAATTATTATGTCCAAGGTGGGCAGAGTGGGCAGCTTCCTCCTAACTCCCCATGAAAGCAGCTCTAAGCTGAGGCAAAATGGAAGACTATAACCAGAACGGGGGCTGGTGTATTTTATTGTATATAATGATAGGTTTGCTCATCCTGGTTTTTGGTGTTTTCTTTTTACTAGAAGGAATGCAGATCCTCCTATAAAGACCAAACAGGTTTACTGCAGCCTCGATGCAAAACATCATAAATCACCCAGGTTCATTGTGCATAAAGCAGGGACCATTCTGATCAGTAGGCCATACTTAATTTCATTTAAATGTTAAATCTTTCTAGGAATTTTTACTACCTCCACTGTCCCAACCTTTTTTTTTTTTTTCCCCATCAGCCTTGGTAAATTTCAATGTTATGGTTTAATTCCTATAAGGAACACAGACCAACTGTTTCTGAGCTGTCTATACAAATTGAGCTTTTTGCCTCAAACCTGCTCTTCTGGGATGACCATAGTGCACCAATAAAAAATAACAGCTACACTCCTGAAATAAACAGGCCAGTACAACAGTGACTCCCAAGTATTGGGTTTTCCAACTTTATTAAAAAGGGCAACGTTGACAAGCAGTAAATATAAAATATACATTACAAAGGTTTGAGAGGTGGTACTGCTCGATGTATCCCCTTACTTAGGTCTTCTCACAGTCCAAAGGTACATCACTGACTAATCTCACGGTCTTGGTGGACGCATGCCAGGTGGAGGGGGTCCTGGGAATAAAGGAAAGAGTTGGAGAGGAAAGAAGCAGCAAGGCTAAACCAAAAAGACATTTTCCCTGTGCCCATTGTAGCCTTAGGACCCTTTTTTTTGGCACCAAAGCACTTACTGTCAACTAGCAGAGCTAGGGAGACATTGGAATGCATCACCCTTCAAACATCTTACAGCTTCTTATAGTTTCTAGGCAGGATAACCTGCACTCACCTCTCATTCCTGGGGGTGGTGGTCTCATTCCTGGTGGGGGCATTCCCATAGGAGCACCTCGGCCAGGTGGCATTCCCATTGGTGGGCCCATGGGTGGTCTCATGCCCGGAGGAGGTCCCATCATTCCTGAAGCCCGAGAAAAACCAAAGCATGTAAATCCAGCTGAATATTCAAGGCACTAGCTGGACATCAGGATATCCTCCTTAATACCAGTTCTTCATCAGACTGGGATAACTACCTCTTTATCACCAATTCTGCCACAGAACGTGAGCTCCTTGCTACCCCACTGTACAGAGTGACTCCTACCTGGAGGAGGGGCTCCTCTGCTCATGGGTGGGGGGGGACCCCCACGCCCTGGGGTGTACTGAGTTGGGGCTCCTGCAATGCTGGCAGTGGCTGCTGCAGCAGCAGCTGCGACTGTTCCACGGCCCTGGGGTGTCATCACCTGCAGACAAAATTAACAGGCTCACAGAAAAACAGCACAACATCTGCTTTGTATTAATAACTCAAATATAAGCAACACTGAAATTCCCCTTCAGAAAAATCATGCCAGCCTCCTCTAACGTATTAAATGATGCTACAAACTTATAATAAAATTCCAAGGATACCACTTGAGTTATGTGCAAAAAGCTGCATTTTTCAACCCTCTTCTTCATCATGTAAGAAAGTTCCTAGGGCAATCTAGCACCAAAAAGCCTCACTAGGCTCAAACTTCATGGTAATGGGTTTCTTACATCACACTGGTACCAAAAAATAAAAGCCATATGGGTCACAGCATCTCACCTGTTGGGATGGTCCTCCCACTCCTCTGACAGGGCCAGCTAATCCTGCTGGAGCCTGTGGCATGGGAGCACCAGCTGGTACTCCCCTCCCTGCTGCTCTCCCAACTCCAGGTCCTCCGGCAGCACCAGCAAGAGGAACCCGTGCAATTCCAGTCTGAAAAGAGAGCCCCCAAAAAGAAAGATTTATCAAAATTAAAGTCCTCAGTCCCTAGGGATGCCCACAGCCCTCTTCTGTCCAATTAAACATCCAAGCCCACAAAGGAACAAGAGCTTCCTGCAGTGAAATTTGTTGGACCTAGTCACAACAGCATCTGGAAGGCTAGAACAGCACAATAGTAGCATTCCCCTGCAAGGAAGCAAATATATCGGATATCCCTTCTCTTTCTGCTTAGTTCTGTGCTCATTCTTACATCTTTTGGAGGTGGTCCTTCAACCGTCATGGATACCAGGTTTTCCCCTCGCAGCAACACAAGACCAAGGACTCGTTTCTCTTCCCGCTCTGGCTGTTTTGAATTTTTAGGTCTGGTGAGAAGAAAACATTGCAAAACAGAAGAAGAAAAAAAATGAATGAACGATGCTCCTTGAATTTACAAGGATATATATGACTAGGCTGCTTCTCCAGAGAGGAGAGCCTGCCACAAAAATCATATTTTTATATGTCTCAAACTAAGCATATAGAGAAGTCTAAACCGTTACAACTGGCATCACAGAGGGGTATATTTTGGTTATTTGGAAGGAACTGAAGCAAGGTGCCTCTTGAACGATGATAGTTTGGGGATTTGCCCAGTAAGACTAAACGCATGAGTGTTCCAGCAGACGATGCCCCGGCTCTCGCCCCGGGGCCCCTCCGCAGGACCGGGGGCCCCGCCCGCCGGCCCCGCCGCTCACTTGATCTTGCGGAACTCGTCGCAGTCGCAGAGGATGAGGTTCATGTGCTTGTCGAAGGCCTTGAACGTGCCGATGAAGACGCGCCCGTCCTGCAGGATGCACCGCATGCGGTAGTCGATGTGCTGCAGCATCTTGCTGCTCTTGCCCACCGTCTGCAAAGAGACCGCCGGGTTAACCCGCGGGCCGAGCGGGGCTCGCCCCATCCCCATCGCCATCCCCGCGGGGGCTCACCATGGCTGCGGCTCTCGGTGCTCCCTCCCGCCGCCGCAAACACCGCTCCCGCCGCGCCGCCTCGCCCCGCACACACGGCGGAAGCTCCGACGCGCGGACCCCGCGACTTCCGCCCGCCCTGCGCGGGCACCGCCCGTTCCGGCGCTCCGCGGACGCGCTTCCCGGGGCGGGACGGACGCGGCGGGGCGGGGGCTGCGCGGAGCTCCGCGGCCCCGCTGTCGGGGCAGAGGGAGCCGAGCGCGGCCGCGCCGCCGCCCCAGAGCCCCGCGCCGGCCCGGGCGCCCGCCCTGCATGAGCCCCGGCGGCCCCTGGCGCTCGCAGCCGCGCCCGGAGGCGGCGCCCCGTGGGCACGGGGTGCTGACGTGAGCCCTCCCGCGGCGGCCCCGCAGGCGAGGAGGGACGGGGGACGCTCGGTCAGAGGGACTGAGGAGGCTGCCGACACCCGGGGTGGGGAGGGGGGCTGCCGCTGGGGGTGGCGGGGCCGGCGGGTCGTGCGGCTGCGGGCGGGCGGGCTCGGGTGTCCATGTTCTCCGTGTTCTCCGTTTTCTCCATGTTATCCATGTTCTCCGTGGTCTCCATGGCAGCGCGGCGGGCGCATGACGCGCCCATGGGCGGTGCCGGGGCGGCCGGAGCGCGGAGCGGCCGCGGCGGGTCCGGGTGAGCGCGGGCGGGGATGCGGAGGGGATGGGGAGCCGCAGCCGTCGGGGCAGCCGTCGGGGCAGCGCCTCGAAGCGCGAGTCTGCTGCCTCCCCAGACCCCGCTGCCTCCCCAGACCCCGCTGCCTCCCCAGAGCCCGCTGCCTCCCCAGACCCCGCTGCCTCCCCCGCCCGCCGCCCTCCCCAGGCTCCGGCTCCGGGGGTCGCCCGCCCGTCCCCGCAGCCCCCGCTGTGCATCCCCGGCTGCCCCCGGAGGGGCGAGTCCGCCGCTCCCTCGGGGCCCGAGGCACGGCACGGACAGCGCTTTGCAGAAAAAAAAAAAAAAAATCGTTTAGCACCTTAAATCGGGCTTTGGCCCAAGCTTCAGGAGGGGCCGACTCGCTGTCGGCTTTCAGCTCACATGACTGATTAAAAATAATTAAAAAAGCAGTTCTCTTTTTGCTTGTTGCTGTCGGTTTCTCTCTTTGCCAGGATGTGGCCTGTGCCAAGCTGTGCTGGAATGTGCTCGACGAGAGCACGTAGGCTTAGTGTTGTACAGCCAAAGTGCAGCCATGGAAGGCCTTTGGAGGAATGTGAGATTCCAGAGATGGATTCTGAGCCATTTGGTTCTTTGGTTCCTCTAGTGAAGGATGTTTCTTATTGCTTGTTATGTGAGGTAGCATAGAAAGAAAACTGTGTAGCCCTGGGGTTGGACTCTGCTGCCTACTACACTTTCATGCTGCTTGGCCAAGGTGTCTTCTCTACACGCCTGTCCAGTTAGTCCTTCTGCCAACATCACTTCCACCTTTCCCTTGGCCTGTTGGCTCCGTCTGGGGACTTTCTGAGATCTGACTGGGGTGTTTTGTTGCATCTACAGGTTTCAGAAGCTGCATCTATTTGCTTGTTGACTGGGTGATTCTACCAGGCAGCTTTTCTTTTTCAGGGAATGTTCTTTCATCCTCCTCATTTTCATTCTGTGTGCAGCACACTTTGTTCTCTATCTGTAATGAAAAGAAGATTGAGTTTGTGAATAGGGAAGTTCTGCTTAAAATACTCCAGTTGTTTTAGCTTGCAGCTTCTCAGAAGTCTTTTGAATAGTGTGTTTTTAGTGGTTGTGCTGATTTCTTGCCCTGCAGCTACCCCTGCACCACTGCTTTGTATGACAGAGCTCACTCTGCAGAAGCAGAGGGAATTAATTTTTTATGGATTTCGGCTTGGCTGCTGTCTCCCTCTGTAAAACTGTGGGAATTGTTTACATGCTGTTGTTGTGAAGAATGTGCTGTGAGAGACCTATAAGTAACTGATAATCACAATTATGGAAAATCACAGTCTGTGCTTCATGGGAGATTCTGAACAGTCATTTTATCAGCTCTATCACTATTGCACTGCAAAATATCCATTGTAAAACTGAACATCTGATGCCTCTCTTGTCTGCAGACATGCAGTGAAATCGTTTCAAAGCATGCTTTTGGCAGACAACCTGGTGCTAAGAGGCTGACCTGAAGTACCCTTTGTATTCATAGTCCACTCTTCATTTTTCTCTTCTGGAAAGCTGCTCCTGCTGAGCCACTGATCCGTGTGGGTTCTTCAAAGGATTGTTTGACCCAGGCTGTTTGAAGAGTTTCCTACCTTTTTTAATTTTTAATTCTTACTTCTCTGGGTTCTGCTTAGCCAATTCCTCTTGGTCTTCAAATCTCTGCCTTAGCAGAGATACCTGGTATCTGTTCCTTGGTGCTGCTGTGCAAAGAAACAGTCTTTAAGCTCTATTTGTTTCGCTGTGTATTTGCTGTGCCTTGAATACTGATTGGAACATGGTTGCCAGTCGTGAGTGGGTGCTCATTTATGGAAGAAATTTGGGGCAGAAATAGTCTTAAAGATCATGGTGAATTACTTTGCATTTGTATGCAGCTGAGAGCTTTTTTTTTTTTTTTTGAGATATCAAGAGAGTGCAACACAGCTTGGCTGGTCCCTGTTTTCAGTGGTGAGGGTATCAGGGAAGCTGCAGGTAGAGTGCATGGATTCTGGGAGCTGTGGGCCAACCTCTGCAGTATTTTTTTTATGGAACAGGACATTTATATGGCATTTAGGGGCATGTTTTAGTGGTGGGCTGTGCCGTGTTAGGGTTACAGTTGGACTTGGTAATCTTAAGGGTATTTTCCAGCCTAAATGGTTCTGTGATTTCTGTGCAATTTCCCATAATATCAGTGTTTCTGTTCTAATGGGCACTTCCTCTCTCTGAATGAGGCATGTTCTTTGCATGGAAAAAGACAAGTTAGAGATTTGCAAAGCTACTACCTCTAGTAATCTGGGTGCCTGTTTTGGCATATAAAGTACCATTTTTCCTTCTACTCTTTAGTAGCACCTTGCAATGTAAGTCACAGTGCAAATAAAAGGCTGTGACTGTTCTGCAAGAGGCTGAAGGGAGAGGTGGTAATTAGATGCTAATTACTTGTGGGTATATTAGTTTAAAAGTTGCAAATTCAGTTCTTAATACTCCAGGAAGTAATCTTTGAGCCTTGTCTCTTCACTGTGTATTTGTCGTGCCTTGAACACTGAATGGGTTTGATGTTTTCTAATTGCAAATTGGCTCACTCAGGGGAGCAGTAATTACCTATTCAGTTATTACAAGCCAGTCTGGTTATTTGAGATGGTGTGTGTGTGCTTCTGCACAGGACTGAGTTTTCTCAGGCTGTCAGGTTTAGGCCATCATAGTCTTTAATTGCTGAATGGAGAAGAGTGAGTGGAAATCACACACCTTTTGGGAACTGCCTGTCTGTTTCTAGATCTAATACATGGAAACCTTGATATCCTGCAGATCTGGGGGTGTCATACAGATTGGGCACTTTGGGGAGTACATGCAGAACTACTGATTGTATGCCAGTAATTGCCAATATATACTTAAAGATTTAGTTGATCTATTGCTGCAAGAGACATTTGAAAGTCTAAATTATTTTTACTTTATTGTAGTGTGTGTGTAACTTGGGAAAAAGGAAGTGAGGAAGACTGATTCATATTTTTATTGGGTTCATCCGTCTTTTTGCAAGACAACAATGTTGTGTAAGCTCTGACTTCTTATGGCTGCTGCTGTGGAGTACGTTGGGTCAGCAGGCTTTCCTGGTTCTGCCTTGTCTCTTTATTACACTGTACTTGAATGTCAGAGGAAGCATTTTTGGATCAGGAGGGACTCTTCTGACTTGCAGCGTGCTGTGCTTGGCAGACTTTTGCTGTCCTCAGACGTATCAGGTATTGACCACTGATTTGTGAAGAGGCTGAAGGAAACTGGTATGAGTAAGCTTGCATTGGATACCCCAGTAATAAGTGCTGAACAGGGGGCTTCAGCCTTTTAAATATATCTGGGCTCAAAGCTTTCCTGTCTTTATGAAGACTCCTAAGTGCTTTGCTCTGCTTATGCATTGAGGCAAGGTACAATTCTGGTCCTGGTTCCTTATTCTTTATTGCCTGAATTTCTAGTTTACTTTGGAGACCAGAAGATGAACTGCTTCAGGACGAGCGTGGAATAAAGGAGTAGAGCCTAAATTATTGATTGTAATGGATGGGAAAATAGCACCAGCAGCTCTGTATGCCTTCAGGGTTAGAGGCCTCTTGAGAACATATTTGCTGCAAGTTCACATGTCTCTGTTAGCAAAGAGTAAATTGTCTGTCTTGGAATGAGAGAATAGAGTACTGGTAATCAAAATTTGAGAAGAAATTTGTGATAAGACATGCTCATGGGGTTTGGAGGCAGTGTTTCCATAGGACACCATAGGCTCTGTGCTTTCTGTTTGTGAATTAGCTTGGCTCTGTGGGCTGTGAAGGCTTCTTTGAAACACTAATTTAATTAAACCCTCTTATGAGCAGTCTTCCTTTGTGTGGCCTCACCTTGTCCAACCCTCAGGAGGGAAGCTACCTGGACACTGTGTTTCTGCTCCCACATACTGACAGCAGCCAGGCCTGGGGAGTTATTTCCTTGCTACCCCTGTGAACTGACCTGGCAATACAGATGGTGGGTGCTAGATGGGGCTTTGCTGAGCAGAGCAAAGCCCTCCCTCCTTCTTGGGAGTAGCCTGACAAGCTCTCAGAGCTATTCTAGGTGATAAGGTTGGACGTGCCATTTCATGCTGTGCTGTTTTAGTGTGAGGCCTTGATCTCTGCTAGGGTGGGTGTTTTGTCCCTGTCAGGCCCAGGAAACCATAACGCTGATGTGTCTGGTGTTTTGAATTTCGTGTTAGATCCAATGTAACAAGTGAAATGGTTTTCAGAGAGATACTCACTGATCTTTCTCTTAACAGGTGTGGAGGTGTATGCTGTTGTAAAGGCACTTGGAGGAGTCTGGAGCAATGCCACCGCCTTCAGACATTGTGAAAGTGGCTGTTGAGTGGCCGGGTGCCAATGCCCAGCTGCTGGAGATAGATCAGGTGAGACCTGGTAACCAGATGGGGTTGATACTGGAATGTGGGAAGCATAGAAATGGGCAGTATTCCTTTCTGGTTGAGAGGAACATGGCTACTGAGGACTCTCTTTCTGTTCTAGAAAAGGCCTCTTGCATCCATCATCAAGGAGGTCTGTGATGGGTGAGTAGTTCTCTGGGAACCCTTGTGGAGAAAGTCTGTCCCGCTGACAAATCTTGCTGGGGTACTGTGGAAAGTCTCTGCTGCTTGATCATGTGCTGCAAGCACAATCCATGCTGCCTGCTGCCAGTTTTGGCCATGCAATGGGCTGGGTTTAAGTTGTGAAGAAAAGGATCTCCCGGAAAATGAGGGCCTTCCATCTTCATTCCAGTTCTAAGTGTGTGTCTATGTGTGCCCTAGGGTCGGTTTCTCTGAGGATTGGCCCATCCTGCTGTTACCAAAGTGTAGGCCTCCTCAGATGCTCCACAGAATTGATTTAGAGTAGGCTGGAGTCTCACATTCCCCTCAAGAGGAGGGTGTTTTCTCTTCTCTTTGGGAGACCTGACTTCCCCTGCTAAAGCTTTGCTTGAAAGTTCTTTTGCACCCTGCTGGGATCGAGCTCCATTTCCTAATTGAGAACCAGAAGAAAGAGGAGGAAGAAGCTTATGTGTCCTTCTTCTTCCTCTACCAGGTGGTCCCTGCCAAACCCTGAGTACTACACCCTGCGGTACGCTGATGGTCCCCAGCTGTACATCACAGAGCAGGTCAGTGTGAGGCAGCAGCTTGCTGCCATCCCAGGGGAGAGTGCAGAATATCTTGGACTGGTGGGTGGAACAGTACTGGCACTAATCTTTGAGGGGCAGCATCTTTGCTCTCAGACTCGCACTTGAATGCTGTCATTCAGCTGAGGAGCCTTGCACTTCTCCCTTTGGGTGCCCATGGGTGTGGGGGCTCAGGGTCTCAATTCCAATGCCCTCAGCAGGGTTGTGTGATGTGAGAACCCTTTACTCGTGCATACAGATGTGCACTGCAGATCCAGTTGCGTTCTTTCCCTCCTACTTTTCCGCAGTTTAAAGTTTGTGTTTTCTTTCAGACTCGCTGTGACATCAAGAATGGAACTATCCTGCAGCTGGCAGTCTCCCCGGTAAATGCTTCCTCACATCCTTCGTTCTCAATGACTATCCATGGAAGACAGGCTGTTTCTTGCCTCTTGGCTTTTCTTTCTCCTTCTCCCCAAATTTCAGGGGAATTCCCTTCATTTTGGGCCGTTCTGCACAATGAGGCACACACTCTTTGTTTTCCATCCTGACAGTGGTGTGTGTCTTTCCTCTGGATGCTCTGCCCTTTTATAGGACTTTCTGTAACCCAGTCTGCAGCTTTAGTGCATCCCCTAGATTAGGATGTTGTGAAGCACCTGAGAAATGCATTCTCAGTATGAGTGCACTTAGTATGGTCAGTTGGAAGGCAACAGTTTCAATAACTTAATGCAAAAAATTAAAGGAGAGACAAATTTGATGCAGATGGGGTGGTTCCTGCTGAATTCTTGCTATTGTGATCTCAGCAGTTGTCTTTTGCAGAGTTGCTGCAGCTTCCTTTTTATTTAAATTCTTAAACCTTTTCTGTGCAAGTGTCAGTGGATAGAGCTGAGAGTGAGTAGAACTGGAAGAAGTTACTTGGACAAGAGGTAGTTGAGAGGATATCATTGATCTGTGTCTGAGAAATCTTATGGAATGTCTCATGAATATACAAAATGTGCTTGTGCTTCTCTTTGAATCTCTGAGACTTGTGTTTAATACCATATTTCTTTAACAGTGTTGCTCCATATTTCTATGGGAAAAAACCTCTACTCATCTCACCAGAAAGAAAAACAAGCATTTGCTCTAACTTGTAAAATAGCATTTTACCTCCTGCTTGGCTGTAACCATTGCTGAGTGCGGCCTTTTTTTAGTCTTTCTTAGTCTTACTGGCTGCTGCTACTGAATTTATCTTTGCTGGCGTCTCTCTACCCTGGCTCTGCTCTCTCTGCCCACCCAGGGCCTTCTGACAGAATGCTGATGCTGGTGACAGAACTCAGGCTGCAGGTAACTGGTCTGTAACTGGCACCATCCCTCTTTCCTGCCAGTCTAGGGCAGCTCGCCAGCTGATGGAGAGGATCCAGTCCCACAGCATGGAAGCACGACTGGATGCCATGAAGGAACTGGCCAAACTTTCAGCAGACGTGACCTTTGCCACAGAGTTCATCAACATGGAAGGGATTACGGTGCTGACACGGCTTGTGGAGAGCGGGACCAAGCTGCTGTCCCAGTAAGTTCCTGTCTTCCAGGACTCTGAAACAGAGGGCCTCAAATAAGGGGCTGATTTTGTTTGCTGAAGTGGCATAAAGCAGCTAACCTCACAGCAAAGTTGAACTGTTTAAACAAAGTCTTTCTAGTCCTTGGCTAAACCTCGTAAGGCAAAAGGAGTGTTTTGGTGGTGGTTCATCCTGGAGCTGCCTGGCACTGGCTTTGTCTGGCATGAGGCAGCCTCAGCTTCTCCTCACAGAGGCTGCCCTGCACCCCCCTGCATTTCTTGCAATTCCTGCATTTTTTGTAATCTTCACCGTTCTGTCTTGTGGTTATATACTAAATTTTCCACAGTTCATGCTGTGCTCTCATTTTATTTCAAGTCAGGTCCCAATATTTAGAGAAGGACAATGAATTTTTCTTTGCTTTTCTCTGATGTTAAAACATGTTTTTTCCTCTGAATAGCCAAGTGCTGATGCAGGTGGTTGCAAGTCTCTGGTGGCAGGACTAGGGACTTATTGTTGCTATTTTTAATTTGTGCTTGTCATCAGGAAAAATAAAATGTCTTTCTGCAATACATTTCTACAACAGTAAAATTGTCTGCGTAAATGAATATACTTTATTGCTCCTCCAGGTGTGAAATCGTAGCCTGTTTTATTAAAAGGTGGTGACATTTTTCTCTTACCCAGCTTATTCAGCTTGGACAGGCTTTTTTTCTTGCTGCCAGATCTCTTGTAACAGCATTCTTCATTTTCTCAGTTACAGTGAAATGTTGGCTTTCACCCTGACTGCCTTCTTGGAGCTCATGGACCACGGAATTGTCTCCTGGGACATGGTCTCAATAACCTTCATCAAACAGGTGAGTTTGGGTGGAGGGGGTGAGTGGATACTGTTTCTTTTCATGCTTTAACTCAGCTTCCAGGAAGAGCAAAGAGCAGAATGACTCTGCTGGTCCCTCTGTTTGCAGATTGCAGGGTATGTGAGCCAGCCCATGGTGGACGTGTCCATCCTCCAGCGGTCCCTGGCCATCCTGGAGAGCATGGTGCTCAACAGCCAGACCCTGTACCAGAAGATTGCCCACCTGCAAGTGTGAGTGTCCACCCAGCAACAGTGTGATTTGTATCCATTTTTTGTGTGCCTGTCAATTTTAAAACACGTCCTTTTAAATTTA